AGCCAGCGGGCAAGTTTATGGAAAGGTGATTTGGCCATCGATAATATTGGTCTTATAGGGACGTCGGGTTTATGTGTTTTGGGTAGCCCATATAAGTATGGCAATTGTGACCCTTTTGGTTTAAGTTCGTTATACGCATGATTATCTATTAGAATATCTATTAGAATATTACTTACACTAACACTTGCTACATTTAGAATTCAGTTTATTGAATACAATCTATCGAAATACAATATCCATCATTTCAATAAACAACTTACACTCAAAAATGTTTTGCATTCTACTATATGAAAAAAACAACTTCTATCATGATGTCTGAACAGCAACTTTCGTCAATCCACATACAGTCAAATGTAAACTAAATTATGAGTTATGTATCAATAAAGGATAAAATTGGGTGCTAAATGTCCAATAAAAAAAAACAAATCACAATGCATATAAAACAATATGAACAGAGTTAATGATTAGGTTACCGTTTCAAATTTTATCAGTCGGGCATGCGTAATCAAGATATCTGCCCTGAAAAAAAATCGTTTAGTAATATTCTTCCAATAGAAGTAGAATGAAACTAAGTGTATTGAAAAGACAACGACCAGAGTTTCAACTGACTTCATATGTAATTTAATCAAGAATTATTTTATTGAATTAAAGAATCTTTGTAAACAAATAAAACAAATCGTCTGGTAGAGTGAAAATTTGAAAGTGTTCTTTGAATCTTTCAGAGAATAAACCAACTTTCACCAAAACCTTTCAATAATTCTTCTCTTAGACAATGAATGACTATGTGATGAGACCAACTGTCCGTTTAGAATATAAATTGAAATGGAATGCATAATCAATACATCAGAAATGTAAATTAATTAGGACTTAAATTGCACTCACAATAAACAGTTAATTCGAAGAGGAAAATTTTCATTTTGGCAACCTCAATTTCATAGACTTTACTTTTATGATCATAGTTATTTGAAGTTGTAGTGACCTACATTTATCAAGAGAATGTGATCGGTGTAATGGAAACAATTATTATTATAACCAATTGTACCAGGGACTGTTTTACCGTACTTGTTTGTTTAACTGTACCAGAATACATACTTTCTTCCGTTGATTGTGACCTTGCACGAATTCGGTTACGCTTAGTAACCACACTTGTAACTTGGCACAATCTCGGTATTCTTTCCATACTACGAGACCGCCAACAAATGCATCTTGACTACAGTCATCAACTGCCTTCTGATATTTGGCTTATGAGGATCTTATCGGTTAACTGGTACGTAGTCTTCCTGTAGTGGTGATCATAGTCAACCGCGACTCGACGCCACACTACAAAGTAATCAGAAAAGCAAACACGTTTCGTGTATCAGTATATCAGTAAGTAGGGCTTAACTACTTAACATTTTATTATGTATTTTAATTATCATTCAAGTTCTAATACAACGAATCAGTTTAGCATCATGCAAACTCATACTTAGATTTGAAATTTGCATTAACTTGAGAATAATCGTTTGTTGGTAATACTTGAAATATACGTGTTAAACAGCGTCAACAAAAGGAAGTGTAGCAACATCTTTATTGCATTCATTAACCAATCAATATTTTACAAGTCATACTGTCTAATAACTATGGGAAAAAATCTATTTCATTATTGAGGATGTCTCATAAATGGTATGGATTTATTTTTGTATAATTACCTTGATCTGTTAGTGATGCTTGAAATGAATGTGTTCATCAACATCAATAAATGAATTAACTTGTGAGACATTAGAATTTCATGTTTACTGTAGTTTACCTTCTAATTTTCATGGACAGTCTTCATAATCTAAACACCATTATCTGTTTACCATAATTTTTTCATTCAGTGGAAATAAACATTTCCATTTTAATTGCTAAATTACTTAATATTCAAACAATAACTTAATACTGATGTTGTTAGAATAATATTTCGAAAAGTCTACCTATTTCACTGTTATCATTAACCTATAAATTGTTTTAATTATTTCGTCTACTTACAAATTGAAAGTAGTTCATCTTGTTGAGATAAAGCTGAACTGGCATGTGAATTGGCTGCTTATAATCATTTTAGATTCATCCAACTCATTTAACACTACCATGAATAGCTTAGTCAAAAAACATGAATTTGTCACTAAAAATTATTACACGAGATAAATACTCATTGGATCTACAGTAAACTGAGTTGTAACGTGATGAATAACTATTTCAAATACAATATGTGCGTTGAAAACTTGGGGATAAATCGTATAGTACAATAAATAATCAATCTCCTTCATTGACACAATGAACTAATCTCAGTTGGACAACTAAGAAAAGCCAGGAATTTCTGGGTAGCCATTTCGTCTTGGTATGGAGCTCCTAACTAGAGAGCGCCCATGATTCCTGAGAGGATAGAACCAAAGATATTTAACTCTAGCATGCGAGTACTTTACCTTCAGAAACGTAACCCGGCCTCACATAGTATACATATGTATAAAGTCAGTTAAACAGAAATGTTATTTCTTGTTTCATGTGTCTGTGTAACTAACACTAGTCTATGAGGTAAAGTATATAAATTCACTATTCTATACAAACCCTTATATAAATAGAATTTGTTTGATGATCTTACGAATGTGGTTACTACTTTTATAAATTGGTAGATTATATAAATCACATAGATAAATATACTTTCCTTTGGATTTCATTGTTAGATATACCTAAACTTATCAGCTAGATAAATATACGCCAAGATATGTAGTTTATTACACGCAACCACAACTGCAGGAGACGACGACCAGTGTAGCATCAGCCTCAGCAGCAGTATGTCTCAACATACACAAAGGGAAAAGCAAGATTCTTCGATACAACACAGCATGCAACAATCGAATCGCACTTGATGGAGAAAATTTGGAAGATGTAAACATTTTTACATATCTGGGCAGCATCATTGATGAACAGGGTGGATCTGATGCAGATGTGAAGGCGCGAATCGGAAAAGCAAAAGCAGCACATCTACAATTGAAGCACATCTGGAACTCAAAGCAACTGTCAACCAATACCAAGGTCAGGATTTTCAATACAAATGTCAAGACAGTTCTACTGTATGGGGCAGAAACCTGGAGAACTACGAAAGCCATCATCCAGAAAATGCAGGTGTTTATCAACAATTGTCTACGCAAAATACTTCAGATCCATTGGCAGGACACTATTAGCAACAACGTACTGTGGGAGAGAACAAACCAGATCCCAGCGGACGACGAAATCAGGTAGAAGTGCTTGAAGTGGATAGGACATACAATGAGGAAAGCACCGAACTGCGTCACAAGACAAGCCCTCACATGGAATCTTCAAGGCCAAAGGAGAAGAGGGAGACCGAAGAACATATTACGTCAAGAAATGGAGACAGACGTGAGAAAAATGAATAAAAATTGGATAGAACTAGAAAGGAAGGCCTAGGACAGAGTGGGTTAGAGAATGCTAGTCTGCAGCCTATGCTCCATTAGGAGTAACAGGTATAAGTAAGTAATATGTAATTTATTGATTGGTTGTATTTTTGTTGGATAGCGTTAATGGTTTATCTTCAAGTTCCTATGAATTCATTTAAAGGAACTGTTATTCAAAATAGAATTCAAGCTAAAATGTTTCTTGACATTGTCAAGAGGTGTAGTCAATGTTTTATGCAAACACAACAAAGTTGATAAGTATTCAAACACTTTAAGACAATAAACATCATTCGTAAATTGAGCATCAGATATGTCTATAGTCAGTTTGATTTCGAATCATAAGATTTGCAAATTATTACTTAAATAAAATTCAGAATTCCAAATTTGTTTGCAAAATATTTAAATAAAATATGTTTTATTACCCTCAACGAAATCTGACACAATGCTATAATAGTATTTCCACCTTCTCACTGGTTTAATGTTCAAGAGTTGTAAAGAGGTTGGATTTTAGAGGTCTGCTTCAAGAGTGGTATTGTGGTGTGTGTTACTTATGTTGACAGATATAAATAGTATGTAACATCAATCAGAAGTGAAATCCGTGGTAGTTGACGATTGAGAAAACCAAAGTGAAGAGAACAAGAAATGTAAACAGAAAGTAATTGTAATAATAACAGAATTGAAAGTATTATGAAGCATGGAAAGGACAACGGAAGGAAGATTTGCAAATAATGTATTTAATGTATAGTTTTCATATTTTACTAAGCCACTCTGTAAATTTGCAATAAAGTATGAATGTAACTATTCGGAGGTTGCTGTTCGTTTAGGATTTAGGGATAACGTAACAAATTAACATTAGTACAAACCTCCATGCTAAACAAACTGACAGAACGTCTTCAAGTTTGAATGGTTGTTGGATTCATGAAATTATATAGATTATTTTCATCAATTAGGTGAGCTATATATCTCTATAATATAGAGTTGACCATATTGTTCTACTTCAGGATTTCAATATTCACAAATTATGCATACCATAAACGACTTAAATATACTTCACTGGTTTTATAAACCACTTTATGAGAGATTATAAGAAGTGATCAAAATGACTTAAATGCATGAACAAAAAGACCGTGATTATAAGAAATTTAATGATCAGTTTAGACTGAGGGCTTCGAACCAACGATCTACATTGAAAATGTGAACACACAAAAATAGTGAAAATAACTTCTATCACACATATTGAAATAGAATTATTGATCATTTCAACAATAAAACATATAATTGGACATCACAAATCATGGAAAAGGCAGAAGAATACTTCATCACAGAAGGATCTTCATCGATTCAGAACAAGCGTCCTTAGATCAAATGATGTAATCATCAGAAACTATTTTCCATATTAGTCACATACATCATATTTATGAGACAACCTATTCCAAATTAATCATGAAAATGTATGAAATATCGACTCTCATACAAAAACCAATCAAAAAATACAACAAAAATTATGAAAATATGTGAAATAATCAAACAAAATTTCTAATGTATCATTTACCAATCAAATAATCACAAAATTATTTACACGCAAACTGAAAGAGTGGAGTTATGTGCATAGCCATTCACTTCAAATGTAAACAACCAACATCATGCGTCATTTACGAGTTCCCTATCACTCGACTGTAGTTCATTTAGTAGCACGTGTCAGTTTGATTCAGAAGTATATAAGGCGAAGAGATACATATCACTGTATCATTCGATAAATTATTCAAACGATCATTTCTACATCGAATCTAACACAATGAACAGAACAGCTTCCAAACATATATTCACCGAATCGAGAGCTAGACAGAATTTCGCCAAAGAATGTGAAGATGCCATCAATAAACAAATCAATGTGGAACTACAGGCTGCTTATGATTATATGGCATTCTTCACTTATTTCGATCGAGATGATGTGTCATTTCCGAAAGCAGCTGAATTCTTTCGAAAAGCTTCACATGAAGAACGTGAACATGCAGAGAAATTGGCCAAATATCAGAACAAACGTGGTGGTCGTGTTCAATACAGTGATATCAAGTGTCCAACTAAGACAGAATTCAGTGGTTTGGAGGATGCGATGAATACTGCATTGTCGATGGAGAAGGCAGTGAATGAGGTGAGTGGTACACTGAATCATAATCTATTTACAACTAGATCATCGTTAACCGACAATCGAAAATGATTATTTGGTTTTAAAAATATATTTCGATTTTATATTAATGTTTGTGTAATTGTTCACATCACTGACTTTAAAATACGTGCAATTCTCAACTGTTGAATTGACCATCATCTTTGGTACATTACATTTCTATCTCTGAGTAGTATTATGAAACTGGAATGTATCGTATTAAATTGACACATGTGAAAGTTACATTTTAGTTTGGTTAGTTTCATCGACATGGTGAGTCACATTTCACTGTGAAAATGAAATACTAATCTATTAAATGACAACATGAAATACACTACATACATTTGTTCTACTGTTTCTTCTCTTTTTACAGTCATTATTGAAACTTCATGAAATCGCTGTGAAGAACAATGATCCAGCACTGACCGATTTCATTGAGAGTCAGTATTTGCATGAACAAGAAGATGCAATCAAACAATTTGCTGACTATGTGACAGAGACAGATCGAGTTGGAAGTGGACTTGGTCAATATTTATTCGACAAGATCACACTGAAAGAATAAACACGACTTCAGTTGAACTGTTCATTCATTGTTATGTCGTTCATGTATTTCTCTGTATTGTTTTTATTATCAGTAAATGAGTGATTCTCACAACTTTCTTACTAGGTTTCTTATTGTCATTGAAAAAGTGGACAACCTGTTTGAAGTAGTAAATAAGTGAGTTAGTTGACTTTGAGGTTTTGATGTGGGAAGTATGTTATAGACCGACCAAATCGACGAGATGAATGGTATGTGATGTTTCTAAATAGTGAGTGAATAACGATTAATTGTGCTATGCTTTGAGAATACACTATTTAATAACATTTTATATTTCGTTGACATAATCTTGCGTTCTTATAGTAAAGATAAAGAAACTATTTAAAATTTAACAGAACCGCTGTATGTTGGTTATGAATAAGATTAAGAAACGATTCGATATCATTTGCATGCCTAGAAACAATTTTTCCTAAATTTTCTGTTGAAAATATGTAAATTACACTTAAAATTTTGATCTGGACCTTAGATTAGTGTATCGTTATTCGTTATTTGCTTATCTGTCATAATTTCAAGATGATGATTACTTTTAGTGAGCAGACAAGCGTGTTCAATAAAAGGAATATATTCGAGACTTTTCATGTTCTGTTAAAAGTTCCCGTACTATAACTGTATTTCTTAAGCTTTGATTACATCATCTATGTTTTATTCAATTTACGGATAAATATTTTTTTCTGTAAGAATTTGAAGTTTACAGGGTATTTACAAAAATTACTGAAGGGTTCCATATATTTGAGTGTGTCCTGATTCAATATTAGTTATCTGCTACCAACAAATAATTTAAATATCTAATGGGTAAAACTGTTTTATTCGTAGAATATTTGAATTATTTTTCATATTGGAGCATTACAACGCTGATTGGCCTTGATTACACATGACTCATTAGCAGTGCTCAAACACAACTTTATCAGTGATAGAATACAGGACATTCAACCTTAGCAGCTGGCTCTTAACCTTCAAGCAACTCAGTTTAGATCCAGGGTCTTACATTTACTGCTTTAGTTAGTTCGTGATTTTGCACGACTCTCATTTATTGCCGTTGATTATATTTGTCTAACATTCCACCTGGTTGATCTGTACTGTTCATGGCTTCTCACTGGTACCGTCAGATCAGAACATTGCTGCTCTCAGGTGCTTTCGGGTTTTTAAGCAAAAGTCAGTCTGTTTTGAATCTTTAAATCCAGCAATCACCACAATACCCTACTATAACTTTGAATATTGTTGAATATACATGGAATAAATATTGTTTTAAGGTTTTGATAAATATAATTTACAAACGCCAGAGGAATCTCTGAAATCGTATAGTGCATAAAATCCTTAAAACTAGGATTAGAAATGAAGTCAACGGGCGACAACTTTCCTATAATTTTGAAAACAGTTTTCATTAAAGTGGATTATTTTAATAAACTAGCGCTTCTTATGGTTACGTAGGTCAGGTTACTTCAAGTAAATAAAAACAACTTCTATCATGATGTCTGAACAGCAACTTTCGTCAATCCACATACAGTCAAATGTAAACTAAATTATGAGTTATGTATCAATAAAGGATAAAATTGGGTGCTAAATGTCCAATAAAAAAAAACAAATCGCATTGCATATAAAACAATATGAACAGAGTTAATGATTAGGTTACCGTTTCAAATTTTATCAGTCGGGCATGCGTAATCAAGATATCTGCCCTGAAAAAAAAATCGTTTAGTAATATTCTTCCAATAGAAGTAGAATGAAACTAAGTGTATTGAAAAGACAACGACCAGAGTTTCAACTGACTTCATATGTAATTTAATCAAGAATTATTTTATTGAATTAAAGAATCTTTGTAAACAAATAAAACAAATCGTCTGGTAGAGTGAAAATTTGTAAGTGTTCTTTGAATCTTTCAGAGAATAAACCAACTTTCACCAAAACCTTTCAATAATTCTTCTCTTAGACAATGAATGACTATGTGATGAGACCAACTGTCCGTTTAGAATATAAATTGAAATGGAATGCATAATCAATACATCAGAAATGTAAATTAATTAGGACTTAAATTGCACTCACAATAAACAGTTAATTCGAAGAGGAAAATTTTCATTTTGGCAACCTCAATTTCATAGACTTTACTTTTATGATCATAGTTATTTGAAGTTGTAGTGACCTACATTTATCAAGAGAACGTGATCGGTGTAATGGAAACAATTATTATTATAACCAATTGTACCAGGGACTGTTTTACCGTACTTGTTTGTTTAACTGTACCAGAATACATACTTTCTTCCGTTGATTGTGACCTTGCACGAATTCGGTTACGCTTAGTAACCACACTTGTAACTTGACACAATCTCGGTATTCTTTCCATACTACGAGACCGCCAACAAATGCATCTTGACTACAGTCATCAACTGCCTTCTGATATTTGGCTTATGGGGATCTTATCGGTTAACTGGTACGTAGTCTTCCTGTAGTGGTGATCATAGTCAACCGCGACTCGACGCCACACTACAAAGTAATCAGAAAAGCAAACACGTTTCGTGTATCAGTATATCAGTAAGTAGGGCTTAACTACTTAACATTTTATTATGTATTTTAATTATCATTCAAGTTCTAATACAACGAATCAGTTTAGCATCATGCAAACTCATACTTAGATTTGAAATTTGCATTAACTTGAGAATAATCGTTTGTTGGTAATACTTGAAATATACGTGTTAAACAGCGTCAACAAAAGGAAGTGTAGCAACATCTTTATTGCATTCATTAACCAATCAATATTTTACAAGTCATACTGTCTAATAACTATGGGAAAAAATCTATTTCATTATTGAGGATGTTTCATAAATGGTATGGATTTATTTTTGTATAATTACCTTGATCTGTTAGTGATGCTTGAAATGAATGTGTTCATCAACATCAATAAATGAATTAACTTGTGAGACATTAGAATTTCATGTTTACTGTAGTTTACCTTCTAATTTTCATGGACAGTCTTCATAATCTAAACACCATTATCTGTTTACCATAATTTTTTCATTCAGTGGAAATAAACATTTCCATTTTAATTGCTAAATTACTTAATATTCAAACAATAACTTAATACTGATGTTGTTAGAATAATATTTCGAAAAGTCTACCTATTTCACTGTTATCATTAACCTATAAATTGTTTTAATTATTTCGTCTACTTACAAATTGAAAGTAGTTCATCTTGTTGAGATAAAGCTGAACTGGCATGTGAATTGGCTGCTTATAATCATTTTAGATTCATCCAACGCATTTAACACTACCATGAATAGCTTAGTCAAAAAACATGAATTTGTCACTAAAAATTATTACACGAGATAAATACTCATTGGATCTACAGTAAACTGAGTTGTAACGTGATGAATAACTATTTCAAATACAATATGTGCGTTGAAAACTTGGGGATAAATCGTATAGTACAATAAATAATCAATCTCCTTCGTTGACACAATGAACTAATCTCAGTTGGACAACTAAGAAAAGCCAGGAATTTCTGGGTAGCCATTTCGTCTTGGTATGGAGCTCCTAACTAGAGAGCGCCCATGATTCCTGAGAGGATAGAACCAAAGATATTTAACTCTAGCATGCGAGTACTTTACCTTCAGAAACGTAACCCGGCCTCACATAGTATACATATGTATAAAGTCAGTTAAACAGAAATGTTATTTCTTGTTTCATGTGTTTGTGTAACTAACACTAGTCTATGAGGTAAAGTATATAAATTCACTATTCTATACAAACCCTTATATAAATAGAATTTGTTTGATGATCTTACGAATGTGGTTACTACTTTTATAAATTGGTAGATTATATAAATCACATAGATAAATATACTTTCCTTTGGATTTCATTGTTAGATATACCTAAACTTATCAGCTAGATAAATATACGCCAAGATATGTAATTTATTACACGCAACCACAAATGCAGGAGACGACGACCAGTGTAGCATCAGCCTCAGCAGCAATAGGTCTCAATATACACAAAGGGAAAAGCAAGATTCTTCGATACAACACAGCATGCAACAATCGAATCGCACTTGATGGAGAAAATTTGGAAGATGTAAACATTTTTACATATCTGGGCAGCATCATTGATGAACAGGGTGGATCTGATGCAGATGTGAAGACGCGGATCGGCAAAGCAAGAGCAGCATATTTACAACTGAGGAACATCTGGAACTCAAAGCAACTGTCAACCAACACCAAGGTCAGGATTTTCAATACAAATGTCAAGACAGTTCTACTGTATGGGGTAGAAACCTGGAGAACTACGAAAGCCATCATCCAGAAAATACAGTTGTTTATTAACAATTGTCTACGCAAAATACTTCAGATCCATTGGCAAGACACTATTAGCAACAACGTACTGTGGGAGAGAACAAACCAGATCCCAGCGGACGAAGAAATCAGGTAGAAGCGCTTGAAGTGGATAGGACACACAATGAGGAAAGCACCGAACTGCGTCACAAGGCAAGCCCTCACATGGAATTTTCAAGGCCAAAGGAGAAGAGGGAGACCGAAGAACATATTACGTCAAGAAATGGAGACAGACGTGAGAAAAATGAATAAAAATTGGATAGAACTAGAAAGGAAGGCCTAGGACAGAGTGGGTTAGAGAATGCTGGTCTGCAGCCTATGCTCCATTAGGAGTAACAGGTATAAGTAAGTAATATGTAATTTATTGATTGGTTGTATTTTTGTTGGATAGCGTTAATGGTTTATCTTCAAGTTCCTATGAATTCATTTAAAGGAACTGTTATTCAAAATAGAATTCAAGCTAAAATGTTTCTTGACATTGTCAAGAGGTGTAGTCAATGTTTTATGCAAACACAACAAAGTTGATAAGTATTCAAACACTTTAAGACAATAAACATCATTCGTAAATTGAGCATCAGATATGTCTATAGTCAGTTTGATTTCAAATCATAAGATTTGCAAATTATTACTTAAATAAAATTCAGA